GTGTGTGTGTGTGTGTGTGTGTGTGTCGTGTGTGTGTGTGTGTGTGTGTGTGTGTGTGTGTGTGTGCATGTGTGTGTGTGTGTGTGTGAGTGTGTGTGTGTGTGGGTTGGATGCGTTCGTGCGTGTGTATGTGCGCGCGCATGAGTGCGTGTGTGAGTGGGTGGCTCTGTTGTAGCACATGTTTGGGCGATAGTAGAGTCTTGAGACGCCCGTACCGCCCGCAGACACGAGCATTAATCATGCTATGTGCTTATAGCATGCTGCGCCAGCCCGCTCGCATTCAATCACGCACACCATGGATTGCGTGAATAAATAACCCACACAACGCGTAGCACACACAACACGCGCACCCGATGACAAGGAATTATGTTAGGCAGAGGTGAGAGTTTGCATCACTAGGTGCAGTCTGGAGATTGCGTATATAGTCTGTAAACTTCAGCGTGCCGTGTATACATACATACGCGCATATACATACATACATTTACATATCATGTATATGTATATCTATACGCTCACACACACGCGCAAGCGCAAGCGCACGCGCGTACACGTATGCACGATGTGCGCGCGCACACACACACGCACACACACGCGCACACACACGCACGCGCACGCACGCACACACACACACACGCGCGCTCGCACACACACACACACACACACGCGCGCGCACACGCACGCACACACACACACACACGCACGNTAACACATCATAGCGGTTCGTGGAAGCACTATATATATCTATACGAGCAAGAACACCTTTACTGCGCCTTTAATATCGCGGCCACGTATACTACTCCATTAAACACGCACATTTCTGCCACGTGCGTTTCGTCGTGCAGACGGCACGTGTTTCAGTGTAATATAAAGAACAAAGATCACTTCTCTATAGGGACATACGTCTGCTTCATGGAGTCTTCGCAGTATCAATACTCGGCCTTGGCGACGCGTGTACGCGACTGTACAGCATATAGAGAGCAACAATTATTCGCAAAAATGTCGGGAGTTGAGACCAATAGCTGTTAGGCTTTGCCTGATAATCCATAGTAAAACAGTGTAACATCTGCGGCGGGGTGGGAGTTCCCATGTATAGCGCGGTGGCTGGCTCTATAGCAGTCGATCAATCACACGTTTACAAATAGAACGTCAGAGCGATAAACGCGGCGTTATGTCTTTCAGGCGCGGCTGCGTTTAGCGGAACGGGCAGCTGGCTTCATGTCTCTGTTCATATCCCCCTTCTCTCTCTTTCTCTCTCTCGTGTGTGCTCCTCTCTCTCTCTCTCTCTCTCTCTCTCTCTCTCTNCTCTCTCTCTCTCTATCTCTCTCTCGCATGGTCTCTCTCTCGCACTCACTCTCTCTATCTCTCTCTCTCTCTCTCTCTCTCTCTCTCTCTCGCGTGCTCTCTCTCTCTCTCGCGCGCGCGCGCGCTCTCTCTCTCTCTCTCGTGCTGCACGGACGTACTCTCTCTCCGCGGTGGTTCGCGTCTGCCACACTATTTTAACGTTGCAGCAGCACGCGCGTGTATTTACAGTGGCCCGCCGCCTTACACGCGCGACGCCACGTTAATTTCATAAGTCCGCCATCGTCGTCGTCGTCGTCGTCGCCGTCGGCGTCATCGTCGTCGTCGTCGTCGTCGTCGAGTTACTACTTTGCGCTGCGCTTGAGATGCCGATTCTGCTTGCGCTGCTGCTGCCTGACGGCACGCTCGCTGGTGGCCGGCGAAAGCCAGTCCTGAGACCGAGCATACTCGTGGTGCGTCGTGGCTGCGTCAGCGACAGCGTCGGCGTCGTCGTCAGCGTCAGTGTCACTGCGTCGCGCAGATTCTTCCGAGCAGCATCGCAGCCGCGGGATCTTACGCAACGTCGTCCGCCTGCCGTCGGCATCATATTTCGCAGGCGGGCCGACACCGCCGCCGCCGCTGCCGCCGCCGCCAGCAGCGTTACGTCATAGCTTTCGACGACAAGCGGGCCGTAGACGTGGATTGCCGCCTCCTCTGCCGCCGCTGCCAGTGTTGTTTTCGAAATCGGCACGCCGACCCGTCGCTCTCTCTCTCTCTCTCTCTCTCTCTCTCTCTCTCTCTCTCTCTCTCTCTCTCTCTCTCTCTCTCTCTCTCTCTCTCTCTCTCTATCTCTCTCTCGACGGGAGTCACCACGCGTATATAGTCGGCTGCTGCTGCTGCTGCTGCTGCGGCTGTGAGATCGCCGCTAGGTGCGTGCGACGATGCTGCATGGGTGACGTGCGGAGCGCGGCAAGTATGGCGGAGCGCGGCATCGGTGGGTGAGTGCGCGCGTCGGAGCACGGAGCGGCCGAGAGAGTGTACGTACGTAGTGTACAATATGCACTATGCGTGTAGGATATGCCTTGCTAACCGTGGTCATCGTGGTGCTGCACCTGCCGAGGACCGACCAGCTGCTGAGTGGAGGTAAAGTGCGGTTTTTACGGATTTGCGGGTTTGGTTTTTCGCTCGTTTCTCTCGTTCTCGGCGCGCGTGCGGGCGGGCGTCGGGATACGCGTTGATTCGCGTGTGAGCGTTTGCTTCTGCTAAAGGTATTATTAGCTCTTGATATATTTATTCTCGTGTGAGATAGATGGTAGCGTGCACGCGAAAATTACCGTCCACAAAATGGCAGTTATCAAACATCGTGCGAACTTTGTTTGCGTTTACGATTAAAAATACAAACGAATGGCAAGTTGGCCTTGACATTAATTTTCACACTGATTGGATTTACGTGCCCTCTACTCGTGTGTGTATGTGCATTGATTAGCTACATATAGTATTCCTATTAATATGCATGCATGCAAATGAGTAATATATATATATATATATATATATGCATGTATGATCGAACATTTCAATACATTTTAATTATAAAACGCCTTCGCAAATTTTATCAAGTTATCGCGTAATTCACATATTATATATTCTGACACCATCTTCCTCACTCACCCGATTCCAGATTCAATGGACATTAACCTGTGTTGTTACTAACTCGTTTATTAACATTTTAATATTTCGAGTGCACGGTCTACGCTTTCGTACACGGAAGCATTAACGCAAGTCAGAGCGTTTCACGTGTGTTCACAATTTCTAACCGAATAATTTACACATTTCGCATTAGTGGCCATTACACATTAGTGGTACACGTCATGCACGCACGCATCGCACGACATGTGATTTCGTCAACATGTTTTAAATAATATTCACTTTACAGGTTTCAAACGAACTTATACAGTAATTATGCAGAACTAATGTGTCTGATATAAATGTAATGTTGTGGCTACGCGTCAGGAATAGCTTAACCCATCGGAAACGAGCAAGAGTCGTAGCGGACGTCACAAACATATTTATTCAATGATTATAAATACTCGCTCGGGCGTATGGGGAGCATCTATTGCACGATATCACTGCTTCCGCGGTTTATTTAAGTTTGCCGTGTTATACAAGAAGATGATACAGTATAAATCTGTGTTTCACATCGTGTGGTTAGTATGTAGGCCTTATACAAGAACAAGATTATGTACAATTCTGTGTTTCCCATCGGGTATATGAATGTGGACCTTATACAAAAAAAAGATTATGTACAATTCTGTGTTTCCCATCGGGTATATGGATGTGGACCTTATACAAGAAAAGGATTATGTACAATTCTGTGTTTCCCATCGGGTAGGCCCTATATGGATGTGGACCTTATACAAGAAAAGGATTATGTACAAGTCTGTGTTTCCCTTCGGGTATATGGATGTGGACCTTATACAAGAAAAAAATTATGTTCAAGTCTGTGTTTCCCATCAGGTATATGGATGTGGACCTTATACAAGAAAAGGATTATGTTGTACAAGTCTGTGTTACGCATCGTGTACGTGGATGTAGGCCTTATACAAGAAAAGGATTATGGACAAGTCCGCCTTTTGCATCGTGTAGTGCAAGGATGTACGCGAGAGCGTTCAGATTGACTTTAATTGATATTGAGATTAGCTTCGATGGCAGTGTCGAGTCATTGAGCAGAATTCTGATGTCAGCCAAAAGAGAAAGAGAGCCAATACTAAAGGATATTAGTGGATTATCGTCGCGAGGGAATGCAGCTTACGTCTTTATAGCTTCGTTGGAGAAGCGCCTTCTTATCCTATACACTCTCTGTCTGTCTGTCTGTCTGTCTGTCTCTCTCTCTCTCTCTCTCTCTCTCTCTCTCTCTCT